AACCGCAGGGTCCTCGAGACCCTGTTCAATTCTCCGCCTAAATGTCGCCGCGCAGCGTGTTCTCATTGGAAGTTATCGCAGAAACAGGCGATATTTTACCACCGGATAATAAAACTTCGTCAAATCACTTAATAACGTGCCGTGAGACAGGACGTAAAGGACGCCAGGGACCAGCATACATATGCAGGTACTGGATGGCAGTGGGTAGAGGCGACCTAATACCCCGTGTGAGTAGTTGCGTCAGCCGAGGCTTGGTCTGAGAGTCCAGAACTCTTCAACCTCACAGCAAGACAGGATCCCCGTTGGCCAATTATCTAAAAAGTTATATCATATGCCGATTGTACGGATTTCACAATGGCGTCTCTGATGAGCTTCTGCGGCGTGCTTGCGTGCCACCAGTGTCGAAACATGAGCTTCTATGCTCCTTCGGTTTCGGATTATAATCATTGATGTGCGTAGTTATTCGAGTCAATCTGACTTGATGTTACATGCACGGCCCTGGGAGGCAACGCGCTTTGTTCGTTCCTCTTCGTTCCCCTTCGCCCCTAATTCCGTCTCACATCCGGCCACTCGATGACTCGGAATCCACAGCTCTAGTACGAGGAGACCACCCCAAATCTTGCGACGTGCGACCCAGATTTTCCGTTGCCTTTCGAACATGAGCAGCTGTTCTTCTGCTTGGAATGCGACTGGGCCTCTAGCGTAGAAGTGATTTCCGAAGGCAGGGAGTTTTAACGCCGTCGGCCCGTCATCCTTGGGGAGGACATCCCCGAGTCAGTCTGAAATGAGGGGCATGATGGTGGCTCTTTCATATCCACTGCTGTAATAATGCACGGGTGCAAATGTACGCACCAACACCCCGGACGCCATCAACACGTGTTACCGCCTGCGAATGAACACCCTAGACGATGCTAAGAACGCTTGGAAAATTAAACAAGAAAGATGGGCACCTGACGGCGACAGAAGGCTGTGGAGAGCGCGCAGATAACGCATTCATCAGGTCCTACATGCGGAGCATTGCCGACTGTCAAAACTAGTCAACGGGCAAGCTCTTTGGCTTTGGGGGTTAGTGGCAGGTGTAGCAAAGACATTTCAGGGGGGCACAGAGTGTAAAAGGGGGTCGGCGGCGTTTAGAACGGACTGGAGCTTGTGGTGGGCCAGGCGGAGTTGAGAATGCGATGAACACGACGCGTGTCGATCGATTTTATAGCCGTTCGGCTATATGGATGTAATTGCCCGATGCAAGGTAGGTGGTCCTAATGTGGGGTTGTAAGATGACGCTGATTGATAGGGGGAATCCAGAGCCGCAGCATTGTGGCATTGTAATTGGGAGGTAAGACATGCGCAGCCATCCCTAGTCTGGGCCTCCAATAATCATATAGCTTTTTCCAGGAGAAGCCGCCATTGCCGGGCTTAACATTGATTTGCTTAGCGCACCAGCAGCTCGGGTCAGCACGATGAGTTCGATTTCGAATGTGCTATGGCACCCGAGTTGTTGGCCCACATCTTCGAAGGTTCTTGGAATATCGGGCCCAATGCGATATCTAAAAAATTATCTGTCGTCTTGGAGGGACCGATCGCAGCTAGTAAATTGCTGAGGGCTTTGACAATAGCGTGGGGCCCTGGTCGATGTTGATGGAAATTGTGGTGGTTAGGCCCTAGATAATTAGAAAAATTAGATTGAAATCGAACCTCCGATCCAACTCGGGCACGACAGACTAACAGTCCTTCTCGCCGGGACTGCTAAATCAACTGAGTGGGTCCTCGGCCTCAGCGGCGAGGACGTCGGACGATAGCCCTTGCCTACCGCCCAGAAAAGCTAAAACCCCTAAATTTGTATCCGCGCCAAAATGCTCGGTGCCAGTCGCGCGCAAAAACAGTAAAAATCAGGTCGTGCCAGGGTTCGAACCTGGGTTAGTCGGAAGAGTGCTCGAGTCGCTTCAAAACCGACTGTGATGACCACTACACTACACAACCTGTTGAGGTATGGCTGTCTGAGGCAAATTTTGTTACGCTCGTGAGCTTGTGAGTTGTTTGCGCCACCACGAGCGCATTGGGAGTTTGGGGCGAAGAGCGGATTTGGAGGGACTTTGTTTGGTGCCAGTATCGGAGAAATATTTTGGGATTAGAATGTGGAGACTGAGTGGACTTTGAGGAGGGGGGGGAGGGGTATGAGGCACTCAGGTTCAATTGAGAATCAGTGTAGATTATGAACCGTTTGATCTATTATAATGCACAACATTCCGCCTTGCGGATATAAAAAAACACAAATCACACCTAGCAGCAGCTTGAAAGCTCAGAACTTTAGAATTGGGATTCAGAGGTGGTGATCCGAGGAGGGAAAGAGACATAGGACTCCAGTAACCCGGTAGATTATACAACTTGCGCCAGTTGAATTGCCACAGTTCATACAGGTGTGTATGCAGCCAATATTCTCATATTGCACATTATCAATATCACTACCCCTGATTGCTCTGCACGATAACTTGAAGGTGTTATGCGTCATCAGAGTGACTTTTAGCAGAGGAAAAGCGGATTAGTTGCGTGAATGATCATGATATTATCAATTAATATTCTGCCTCGCAAATATTCCAAACGTAGATGCGCATATACGACACCCACTGGCATCTTGAGAGCTCAGAGCACAGGACACCTAGTACCGCGACCACAGCCCATGACCAAAAGCTGAGAATCTGAGGTTGACCTACCGGGGAATCCCAGCCTCATACACCACACCCCGCCCCGGACGTCTAACAAATGCGCATTAATGTATTATATATGCCATGCTCCCGTAGTATTTTAATCCGTCACGCATCCACAGCGACCCCGCGCCCGGAGCTCGCGTACCGCACCTCCGCCTCGCCCAGCGCGCCGGGCGTGTACCCGTCGTCCGCAAGCTCGACCGAGTCCGCGTCGACGTCTATTATGGTCGCTTCTGCGGAGGGCGTGAAAGCGGGGGAAGAGGAGGGGGAGGAGTAGATGGAGCCGGTGGCGGGGAAGGTGGAGGAGGGGAGCGTGAGGAGGTGCGCGGGCGTACGCGTGAGGTAGACGCGATGCAGGGCGTCTTCGGCGGCCTGAGATATGGAGCGTAAGTGTGGGAGAAGGAAGACAGGAAGAAGGGGAATTCAGAAAGAAAATTAACACTCACGCGATACTCCGCCATTCTTAAGCTGCTCCCAAAGCCCTCACCCAGCTGGTCCGGCCCCGAGTAGATCCCCACCACAAACACTGGCGACAAACTATGCCGCCCCGTCTCGCGCAGCAGCCGGCTCCGCGGCCGCTCGCGCCCGAACTTGGCGACGGTCTCGAGGAGCGCCTTCTTCGGGTTGGCGAACTTGATCAGCGCACGCAGGTCCGCGTCGCGCGCGAGGAAGAACGCGGAGACGAACTTGCGCGCGGCGGGGAGCGAGCGGTGCGTGTACACGAGCGCGGTGAGCGCGCGCGGGACGGACGCGAGCGCGTCGGTGTGCATCACCGCGGGGCGGGTCGGTGTCGCTACCTGCTCGCGCTGTCAGGAGTCGGTCTACAAGCAGAGAGAATGGGACTCGCCTGGCGCGCCCAGCGTAATAACGGCGCCGCACCCATCTCCTGCGCGACGCTCGCACACGTCGCGGGCCCGACGTGTGCACTCACTGCGGCCTTCAATACGCGCAGTGGCAGGTGCGGGTACGTCGCGTGTAGATGTTCGCTCGCGAACAGGCCCATCAATGCATTCCCTGCGGTCGCGAGCTGCGCGTTGCTCGGCGGCGCTTGCGCACTGGGATAGTGCTTCGCATGCAGGGGCAGAAAACTGGGGTGCATGCACGCCTGCTGGAGCTCCGGCGCGGGGAGGACAGCGCCGAGGCCGATGCGGTGGGCGAACGCGGCGAGGGCGGCCTTGGGGGGTGGCTGGAGGGAGGCCCAGAGGGCGGGGTCGAAGGAGGGACCTGGGCGGGGTTTGGCGGCTGCGGGGAGCTGGAGGGCTTCGCGTGGGGGGAATTGGGGGAGGGCGGAGGGGGCGATGGCGAGGCGTGAGGCGGCCTGGTAGAGCCGTTTTGTTGCGTGGACCATGGCAGACGACGAGCAGCACAGAAGCGGGCAGCAGTCGCGTCAGAGAGAGAGAACGGCAGACTCTTTTTATTTCCCGCGCTGCAGTCCAAATTCGGCGGTGGCAATCCCTGGCGAGCGAGTCTCCTCACCATGGCCATCTCCTACTGGACATTAATATTATCACAAATACAATGCAGGATCACTGTCTATAAAGAAGTGAAACGCGACAGGAACAAGACGACTGGCCACCTGTACTCGTTTACAGCTTGTCTTGAGCTCGATGTCAATGTACACTCTGCAGTCGTGCTCCCATTTGATTATTTTCTCTCAAAATATTCTAGCTATCCGTACAAGAACGGCTCGTAGAATATGATGAGCAGCTGCTCCTTGTCGTAGAGGGTCTCGTCGTCGCGCCCGCCCATCTGTAGCTTATTTTGGTTCGGGTATCGCGCGCAGCACAGCCTACGGTCCCTGAATTTTGAAACCCATTACAGCCTCACAATCGAATAAGTACACAGACTCTACAGTCATCACCAGCGCTCTTACTCCACTCACCACGCTGCTGCCGTGCAGCACATCGCCTATATACCGACCACGCACTGAATCACCCTCTGATAATATACCACAGTGACAAGCGATACCGACAATGGCCGTGTTGTCTCTCCCGCTGTCGTTCACCAACTCATTTTGGACACCAGACTACCGCAGGGGACTTGAAGTCCTCTTCTCAAAGCTCGAACAAGTGTGTCTATTCTCATGTAACATAGCAGAGACGATGCTGAGGAAACGATTGATCGCAGGGCCTCGCAGAGAATGACGAGATCATCGCGTTCATACGGGTGCGCATCCAATCGCACGCATATACGCCGCAGATTACTGACATCGCCACACACACCAGGCCCGCGCCGCCGCCGAGGGCCAGCTCGCCATGGCGCTCATCAACCCCGCGCCCACGGGCCACGACGCAGGTGCGTGCGCCCCTTGTGCCCCCACCCCAAACTGACACCCCACAGGCACCGGCTTCCACGCCGACGACGGTGCCTCGCTCCTGATGGCCTTCCGCGGGCTGCAGGCCGAGTCTGCCGCGCAGGGCGCCGCACACCGCACCCTCGCCAACGAGCTGACCACGCTCGTGGCGGATCCCTTTGCGGACTGGGCCAAGGGCTACAGGGAGCGGATCGGCGCGCAGAGGGCGCTCGTGCTGGACAGCTGGCTGGGCGCATATGAAGCCGGGAAGGCGGATGTAAGTCGCCGCTGTTTTGTATCAAGAATAAAAACCGATCGGTCGACAGGTTGCAAGGCTAAAGAAGCAGTACGCGGAGAAGACGCGCAAGGCCGACGAGGCCGAGGATGAGTACGCGCTTCTTTACACACATAGAAGAAAGAATTTGCTGACGAGCGACACACAGCGCGAAATTCGCCCCAAACAGCACCTACGACGACAAGGAAAAGTTCACCTCCCCGCGCCAGCAGCCTGCCGACGTCAAGCCGCGGCCCACGCCCCAGCGCAGCGCTACCGTCTCCGAGCGCATTGCCTCGCGTCTCAAAGATCTCCGCCTCAAGTCCGCCAATGCACTTGCGGACGTCGCAGGCGTGCCGGGGAATGAGACCGTGTTCGAGGTTACGCCATCCGACGGCGAGAAGACGCCCGACCCCGAGGCGCCCGCAAAGGTCGACAAGGGCAAGGGCCGCGCCGTCGAGGAGCCCGACCGCACGCTCATGACGAGCCCGCCGCCGATGGACGCGCTGCCCCCGCCCACGCTGCGCGTCTCGCCCGCCGCGCTCCCGCCCATCATCCTCGCGAACGTCGCCTTCCAGCCCGCGGACCTCTCCGCGCTGCTCAAGCAGGCGAAGGCGGAGCTCGCGACGCGCGCGATCCGCATCCCGCTGCTCGGCGAGTACACGGAGTGCTTCTCCGGCGAGGCGTTCGTCGCGTGGCTCAACGAGCGCGTGTCCGCGCTCGGCGGCGACCTCGACCGCGCGGAGGACGCCGCGCGCGCGCTGTGCGAGCGCGAGAACCTACTGCGCCACATTGGCGAGCTCGGGAACTCGTTCGTGCACGCGGACGACGCATTCTACCAGTTCCGCCCCCGGGCGTTTGAGCTCGACGCGCCGCGCGCGCCCAGCGCCGGCTCGGTGCCCCCGTCGCCCGCGAAGGCGCTCGCGCCGCTCGCGGGCAGCTTCATGAAGCGCTCGGGCACGCTCGCGGGCGTGGTGGCGAAGGCGCTGCAGACGAACGGCAGCGCGCCCGGCGAGCCCGCGTACGTGCGCGCGCGCCGCGAGGCCGAGGAGGCGGACCAGGCGTACCGCGTCGCCGTGCGCCGCCTCGACCGCCAGCGCCTGCACGCGGAGGAGAAGGTCGAGGAGACGCTGAAGGTGCTGCAGAAGTGGGAGACGGAGCGCCTGCGCGCGGTCAAGACCGTGTTGCTGCAGTACCAGGGCACGCTGAGCGGCCTGGGCACGGCGCTCGCGAAGACGGACGAGGCGAGCGGGACGCTGATCGCGGCGTACCAGCCGGACCAGGACCTCAAGGCGCTGATCGAGCGGTACAGGACCGGCCCGTTCCACCCCGTGCCGCAGGTCTACGAGAGCCCTGCGCATGACGAGAGCGATGTGCTGTTCGGGATCGATCTGCGCAAATGGGCGCCACACGGCGCGGAGATGACGGGCGAGAACGCGAAGGAGACTTACCCGAACGTGCTGACCGCGCTGCTGACCGGAATCACCACCGCGTATGGCAGGCTGCCCAATGACGCGGAGAAACGGAAGGCGTGGATCTACGAGGTCCCGTTGACGGCTACTCACCACTTGCGCGAGGCCCTGAACGGTATTGACCCTGCGCACCCCATTCCGGCGGATGTGTTGGAAAAGTACGACGCGCCCGTCATCGCGGGGACCATCAAACTGTGGATCCTGGAGCTCGACCCCCCTCTTGCTACCTGGGAGGG